GAGAGAGAGAGAGAGAGACCAGCAAACAGAGTACAACACCCTTAAGGCCTGCAACAAACAATAGGATGGCATACCAGCCAAACGGCTCTAGTAGATTACAATGCCGATCCCCCCAAGCATCAACTGACCACTATGATGGCACACATGGCCCTTTCAGATCCTCGATGTGTTTCATCAAAAAGTGCACATATGCCATGTATTGTCTCGATTCCTGTGTGCCATCAAAGTGTGAACCTGTATAATTATTATAATTTCATAATAATATGTTGTCATAGAAAATATATTATCATGAGTATGCTTCAGTGTCTTCATCATAATCAATTGTGTGATATTGTATGGTGGTCTCTTTAGGTTGTTTTATTATTTTTGAATTCAACATTTCTAAATACTGCTTCCTTTTAGTTTCAAAGTCCCCTACTGGTCTACCTATGCTTTTCTTTTCAGATGCTTCTCCATTTTCCTTAAATCATTTTTTCTCATTAGTCTTTTCATCAATGGTTTTTAACAACTGTAAGATCAATTTAAGACTATTATTATATCTGTTCATTTTCTTTATCAGCTCATCAATTTTATCAGTAGTATCTAAATCTAAAGTAATAGATCCACCATCATCGTTTGAAACTTTCATAGTCTTATCTTATCACTCTTGCTGATTTTAAAGCTATATGGATTACACTTACACTTTTTGCCTTTAGTGTTGATTTCAATTTCATTCTCAGTTGTAGTTTTCCCTGGCATAAAGGACAGTCAAAGGTAATGAATTTGCTTGTTAGTTTTTGTTCTTCATCTAGTTTTATTGTTTTTGGTTCTTCATCTGATAGTTCAAACTCTTCGGGGATTTGTGTTTTATTCATCTTTTTTTTCTTTTTTGGTGGCATGTATATTACATTTTAGATAAGTAATTATCAATTTTGACATTTCCAGTGAGTATTTACAACACTGCTTAAGTTTATTATCTTTAACAACTGGATATTTAGCACTATCATTTTTTCCATATCATCTCTTCCTGTTATATAAGCATCATGTTCAGATAGCGTCATAATATATAACTATAATTAGATAATGCTTTAACACCATCTAATTATGTAGTGCTTGGGAGAACACTAAAAACGAATTCAACTGTAAGGGCAAAAAATCCATTGCTGAAAAGCAAACTAATTACCGACTTATGCGGATTAGCGTAGCCTCACCTACCGCACTCTGTCCATAGGAGATCTGCTAATATTTAATAATGTTTTCTATGTAATTTTATTAATAGATGAATAATGACACCGCACCACATATTCAACCTATCAAAGAAATCAATTATGAATTCACTCAATCAAAATATGCTGTTGCCTCTAAAGTGCCCTTTAGATCAATCATAACCGGTCCGTCTGGTAGTAGCAAATCAGTGCTACTAACAAACATGAATATGGACACCTACAAGGAAGTTTTTCAAGGGTGTAATCTGGTCACCTTCAATGAATGTTGATAGCATCTGGTTGCCAGTCAAGAAATACATAAAGGAAGAAATGAAAGTGAACACTGGTAAAGAGCAGGTTTTGTTTGAAGACTTTCACAGTGAAGATTTAATGAAAGTCATTGAAACACAACATAGAATAACTGAATACAGTAAAAAAACCATAAATAAATAAAAACAATCCTAATAGTCTTGGATGATATAGCAGATGATCCCAAAATAGCAAGATATTCAAACATATTTGATTCCCTTTATGTAAGAGGTAGACACAATGGTATTAGTGTTATAACATCTGTTCACAAATTTAATGCACTGACCACACTGATAAGAGTTAATGCCACACACCTATTCTTCTACAAGGTCAACAACTTTAAAGAAATAGAACTGTTTCAAAAAGAACTATCAGCAATACCTAGAAGAAAAGAAACAATATCCAAGAAAGTAAGCAGGTCTTATATAAACTTTATGAAATAGCCACTGAACAGCCACATATGTTTTTAGATATTAATCTTCTGGAAAAGGATAGGAGCAAGATGTTTATGATCAATTTTTCACACTATTTGCAAATTGGTGATTGATAATGTTAACTATGTTAATATGATCAATCTTTATACCAATGAAGGAGCACAAATATTATAGCAGGTAGTTTATACATAATCCTATTCGATTTCAGGATGTGAGCAGCTGGGAAGGTTCGTCAAGGGTACACATTCTATCACGAGCGAAATGAACCCCAAAGGTCCCTACCACATATATATGTACAGATCTGTAATTAAGCTAAGTAAGAAAAGCAACTACTCACTAAGACGCAGAAAACGGGAAGGTTCTGCGAGCAAAGGTGAGGGGAGGACTTGAAGTAACCTCTCTGGAAGAAACGGTTGCGACACGTGAAAAGAACGGAGGGACAAGTTGCGCCAGGTGATGTTGCCGAGTGTGACTTGGCAAAACCCAAGCAGTGACCGAGCAGCTCCAAGCAATCTGAGGCCTAGATCATGTGAACCATATGGTCGTGAACAAAGTCATCAAGAACGACATAGTGGTCATGATGGACTTCTCGGATCTCGTGTGTCTCGGGACAAATCAGAAGAGTCAGGAGGAACATGAGGAATATGGTCCAAAGAAAGGAGGGACAGTAACCGTGTACCAGCATATATCAGCAAGAATCGTTACTGTTTCTCATTGGCGCTCGGGAGGGGACACCCAGACAGAGAAGACAAGACCCAAACAAAGCACGCACAGGTGCCGGCAGAACGGCACAACACTCGGAACTGCAGCGGAACACAGCTCTCCCATATCTTTTTCAACCTTTACTTTTGGTGAAAAGAAGGAAGGACTGCAGCAGAGTGCTCGAAAGCGAGGCTTTAGGTTGGCTCGCTTGCCCTGCGTGCCCTGCGTCAAAATCATTGACTTCAATACCTTTCGCCGTCCTACATCCTACATTTGTCATCGACTTCAATGACATGGGGGACAATTGAACTCTTTCTCGGACCAGATTTCAGAAGATAAGCTAGGAACCAAATGAATAGTGCGAGCCTTGAAGAAGTGTGGGCTATCCGTCCTAGCTAGGAGCGTCCAGTACCTAATGGAGCTACTAAATAGCTGACGTCTTCCTATCGCGGTCTACCCCCCCTCCACATCTACACTCGGCGCTCCTAGGTTGGAGGCCATCGCTTTTTATGGCGTCGAACCTAGTAGCGTCCTTGCTACTAGTAGTACGGCCAGGAGCCAGGAGCCCCTAGTAGCGTCCAACCTAGGTGGCCTTCGGTTTTTTTCATGCCGAAGCTACTTGCCCGTGATCCAAGAACGCTTGCCCCCACCGGAGCGACGGGCGAACAGGGACAAAGTCAAAACAGAGGTGACTGGATGTCATATAGTTACTCACATGTGTCTATTTTACAGATATTTTGTCATTCTTGGATCGTGTCTATTTGTGTTTCGTGTCTTTTTAGGCACAGTTGACTTCTCGAAAAATGGTTCTTTCTTTTTCGCCATGCCCTGAAAACAACTCTAGAATCATTTGACATAGTTACAAGGTCCAAAAGATCGCTCTTTTGAGGAAGCAAACAAGCAAACCAAAACCAGAGACAAACCAGAGACAGGTTTCGTAAGTTGGACCCATCAAGACGGTTTGAGAGCCGATTTCGAAAGAACACCCGGAGAGAGGGTAAAGCACTTGTTACTAGAAGCGATGCACTTGTTCCTAGTAGCGAACCTTGTTACTACTAGTAAGGCACCTGTTACTACTAGCGATGCGCTTGTTACTACTAGGAAGGTTTTCTACGAATGTCGGTTTCGGGGTGAACAAGTGCATTTTGAGCGGAACAAGTGCCACGCTAGTAGTAACAAGTGCATCGCTTCTCCACAGCTGTGGACAAAAGGAAAGGAGTTGCTTGAACGGTCGGTCTAGACAACGGTGAACGCCACTAGAAGACATCAACCATAGAACGCATAGAAAAATATACATAGGTTGAAGGACATCCCTCCTAGGTTGGAGGACTTTTGTTCTACATAAGTAAGCATAGAAAGAACACATCGGACAATACCTGCCAGGAGCTGCGGGAGCGAACCCAAGCATTTGCGATTGTGCAGCACGGGTCTTTCTGGATGCGCTCGCTGGTGCCCTTGATGTCCTAGAGCTTTGGGAGAAAGGGGAAGAGCGATGGCCTCCAACCTGCTAGCGATGGCCTCCAACCTGCTAGTGATTGCCTGCAACCTAAGAGCAATGGCCTCCAACATAAGAGCGATGGCCTCCAACCTAAGAGCAATGGCCTCCAACCTACTAGCGATGGCCTCCAACCTGCTAGTGATTGGCTGCAACCTAAGAGCGATGGCCTCCACCCTGCTGGTGATTGCCTGCAACCTAAGAGCAATGGTCTCCAACCTACTAGCGATGGCCTCCAACCTAAGAGCGATGGCCTCCGGCCCAAGAGGGATGCCCTCGAACCTACCAGCGATGGCCTCCAACCTTAAGCTAGCTTTTCCAGATCACTTTATCCGTTTTGCAAGGGGTTCCACGAGCCACCTTTTGCTGGTTGTTGCAGGTTGATACAATGCTGTTGATGGCTCGGCCGGAGACCGTCCCCATTTTCGCGAAGGAGATCCATTTAGAAGAAGAAAAGAGAGCTTTAAGAAATACAAAGAACGTACGTGCTCCTTTTATCAGAGCTCTTTAAATGGACCTTACTAAACGGGTACTGTTCTTCTCGTCTAGTCTCTCTCGCCTTGTCCTGCGTAGACTTTGAGTTTACGAGGACAGCACTGAAGCGTCAGAAAGGCTAGCAGCGCGGTTTGCATGAGGGTACCGGGAATTCAGTGCACGACCTGCATGGCGGTTCGAAGGTGGGCAGTGAAGAATTTTGGGCGTTTGCCATGTACAGAGTGGAGTGCCAGCTGAAGCTGAAGCTATGAGTGCGAATCACGGGGTACTTATGGTGGAAGCTGTCAGTGTTGAAGCGCACACCGAGAACTCTCACTGAGTGTTGAAGCGCTCACGTGCTCGGGATGCGTTCACACTTGACGCTGCTCTCGAACTCAGACTCCTTGGGATAACAAGCAGGAGCGATGGCCTATAACGTAATAGCGATGGCCTCCAACCTAAGAGCGACTGCCTCCAACCTAAGAGCGATGGCCTCCAACCTACTAGCGATGGCTTCCAACCTAAGAGCAATGACCTCCAGCCTAAGAGCGATGGCCTCCCCCAGGCTTGAATATGGCTTTCTTTAAATGTGCATGATCACTGTGATGGTTGGTGCCTCGGCACTGGCTTTGGCACAAATGAACAGTTGCTGAAAGCATTTAGGCTCAACGTTTGATGCGATGCAGTTTGGGTGTGTCATGGAAAGCAAAAAAAATCAATTATTTGTTCCCAGGGTTCAAACCTGAAGATGGTCTGCTGATTTTGTCAGGATTCAGAAACATTCATGGCCATTTAAAAAACGATCGAAGAACAACAGCACCGCGGGCGATGTCAAAGACATCTTGCTGCCAATGTGGTACAAACGTTTGGTGCCTTCATCTTTTAGCCGCTTCGTAAAACGAAACTTGGCTGTCCACTGTACATCCATGACTTACTTATTTTTAGATCAACAATACATATTATGGGTATATGTTATATATATATATTGAAACCAGTACTATACTATAGAAACTCCATATTGTAGGAATTTAATAGCATCATTTTCCCGTCTATTCCCGGATGCCTTTGGGATTTTCTTGGAGGGCCCGGTCTTAAGGACACGATGATAGCGATGCCTCCAGAGCAGCTGGGCTGGGCAGTGTTGGTTCGTCTGGAAAGGCTTTGAGAGGATCGATGAAGGGAAAATGACATGAAATCAACCCAAGAGCGATGGCCTCCAACCTACTACTAGCCATGGCCTCCAACCTACTAGCGAGAAGCAAAAAAAAGTGCAAAAGAAAGGTGAGGATCCTTCTTGATCAGGGGGCCTTGCTAGTAAGGGCCCCTACCTTCTTTTTTGCTTCGCATTTGTATTCAATAGGCATTGAGAGGAGGATCCTAATTGAAGTTTTGCGAGGCACCAGTGTTCCGGCTCTCCGAACCTCGTTCAGAGCCGCGAGATGTGCCGGAAAGATGTGCCGCTGGGCGAAGCAAGAACCGGGTTTGGCAGGTCCTAGGCTCCCACGCTAGTAGTAACAGGTGCCTTACTAGTAGTAACAAGAAGCTATTGGAAACAAGAAGCATCGCTACGAACGGAACCCGGGCATCGCTACGAACGTAGCAAGAATGCCACTAGTAGTAAGGCCAGGAGTCCCGTTCGTAGCGTCCTTGCTCCTAGTAGTAAGGCCGGGAGCCCCTAATAGCTTCTTGTTACTAGTAGTCATGGCACTTGTTTCTAATAGCAAACATTGTTACTACTAGTAAGGCACTTGTTCCTAGTAGCGTGGCACTTGTTTCTAATAGCTTCTTGTTACTAGTAGTCATGGCACTTGTTTCTAATAGCAAACATTGTTACTACTAGTAAGGCACTTGTTCCTAGTAGCGTGGCACTTGTTTCTAATA